GGTGCCGAGGACGTTCTGGGCCTCGCAGCGGTACCGCCCGTGGTCCTGGCGGCGCACGCCCCGCAGGGCCAGCACCCGCTCGGTGCCCACGGCCACCCCGTCCTTGTACCAGTGGTACCCCGAGACCGGCGGGTGGCTGCTGCCAACCTCGCAGCTCAGCGTCACCGTGTCACCCACGCCGATGTTCCCCGAGGATGGGCTCAGCGACACCCGGGTGTCCTTGGGGGTGTCTGCGGAGGGCACAGAGGGACATGGTGTCACCACCCTGGGGCAGGGGAGAGGGGAGGTGGGTGACACGAGGTGGCACCTAAGGGACAGAAGTGGCCAGGGAGCAGGAAAGGGAGGGAGAAGCAGGAGGAAAATGCCGCAGGGCAGGAGGGGGTGGCAGGAGGGGGACCTGGCCGCGGTGGCCGTAGCAGAGGTGTCCCCTGTCCCCACCCCACGTACGCCTGACCCGCAGCACCACCTCCGTGCTCGCCCTCTTGGATCCGTCGGAAACCTCGCAGAGCAGCTTCTTGGAATGGTCCTTCCAGGAGAAGGAGCTGGTCAGGTTAACCTGGTGGCCGACCCCGCTGGTGTCCAGCTGGACGCGGCCGGACACCTCGGACACCCGGGGGTCGTAGCCCTCCCAGTGCAGGACGATGTCACCCCCGGGACAAACGTAGGGCGTGGAGCACTCCAAGGTGGACCTTTGTCCCTCGGTCTGCTCCTCGCTGCTGGTGACGCTGGGACTCTCCAGATCCTCTGGGATGGAGAGCAGAGGCCAGGATGACCTCATGGAATGGGCAAGAAGGGAATTTTTTGGGGGGGGAATTTCGGTGTTTTACCCACCCGAAACGCTCAGGGTCACATCCCGCGACGCCGACCAGCGGTCGCCGTTGATGATCTCGAAGCGGAACCTGTAGAGGCCACTGTCCCCTGGTGTCACCCCCCGCAGCAGCAGGGTGCAATTCCGGGCCATGGGGTCCCCCAGGAGCTGGGCACGACCCCCAAAACGGGGATCCACATCCTTGGGGGTGGTGGAGTGGAACACCAGCGTCCGCTGGCCATCGTAGTCCTTGTACCAGATGGCCACGATGCCGTCGGCGGTTGTCACATCCGCGGGGTAGCTGAAGGTGCAGGGGACAACCAGGCAGGACCCCCCGCTGGCCTGCAGGGACTCGGGGTAGGAGACCCCCCAGGAGCCGAGGGCTGTGCCAGGGAAAATGGGGATCAGGGAGCCAGAAGTGTCCCCACTTCCCTCCAAGACACGTTGGGGACACTTTGGGGACAAGCACGGGACCTGTGCTTGATGGGGAAGGTGGGAGAGGAGGCGGGATTTGGGATAAACCCCCCCAAGAGGAGATTTTGGGGTGGGGAAGGGGGAGATAGCTGGGAAAAGCTGGATCTTTTGGGCCTAAATAATGAGGAAAAAGGGGGAAGCGGTCACTTGGGCTCCCGAATTTATTTCCTCACCCCGTTTCCTCACCCTGGCTCCTTGTCCTTGCTCCCATGGCCTGGCTGTCCCCTTGTCACCCCATCCCTGCCCGTCAGGAGCTTGGGATCATGGCAAATCCCCCCAGGAGCACCCGCTGTGCCAGGAGCAGCCTCGGGATCCCCCAGATTCCATCCTGGCTCCCACTCCCACCCGTGCCGGGGCCAATCCCGGCCTCCAGCGCCGCGGGGGACAATCCCGAGGGTGTCGTTGTCCCCATACCTGGCGGGATGAGGCTGGCCAGGAGCAGGAGGCAGCGGGGCAGGCGCATGGTGACACTGCCGGGGGACACGGGGGACACAGGGGACACTGAGGACACGGGGTCACGCCGGCACACGGGACCCTGGGGACAAGAGGAGGTGGCTGAGGACCTTGGAGTGGGTGGGATAAATCGTGATGGAAGCGCTGATGGAATCAGAACAGTCCCCAAGATGGGGAGGAAAATGAAAGGGGAAATGGGAAATGGGAAATGGGAAATGGGAAATGGGAAATGGGAAATGGGAAATGGGAATGGGGAAATGGGAAATGGGAAAGGGGAAAGGGGAAAGGGGAAAGTGAAAGGAAGAAAAATGAAAGAGGAAAACAAGGGAAAAGGGAAAAGAAAAATAAAGAAAGAATGAAGAAAGGAATAAAGAGGTGAAAAGAAAAGGAAAAAAGAAAACAAAAATGGAAAGTGGAAAAGGAAAAGGAAAAGGAAAAGGAAAAGGAAAAGGAAAAGGAAAAGGAAAAGGAAAAGGAAAAAAGGAAAAGATAAAAGATAAAAGGAAAAGTGAAGAAAAAGAAAAAGAAAAAGAAAAAGAAAAAGAAAAAGAAAAAGAAAAAGAAAAAGAAAAAGAAAAAGAAAAAGAAAAAGAAAAAGAAAAAGAAAAAGAAAAAGAAAAAGAAAAAGAAAAAGAAGAAAGAAAAAAAGGAAACCAAGAAAAGGAAAATAAGAGGAAACCCAAAAATAAACAGAGAATTATTTAAAATGTTTTACAGCTTTTTGCAGCTCCAGACAAACTCCTGCCATTCCTTTCCTTCACCCCTCATCACTGTGGGACAAACCAGAATAATTTCACCCAGAAATGTCTCCCAGGATCATGGAAATCCACGATCGGATTGCTGCGAGTTTCGATTCTTCCCTGAGCACTCCTGGGGCTCTCCCTGAGGAACGAGGCCTCTCCCAGCCCCCCTCTCCGGCCTTTCCCTCTCCACCATTCCCTCCTTCGCTGATACCTCCTTTTTCCACATCTGTATCCAATTTCCTTGCTGCTCCTTGGATTTCGGGGTGGATTTCCCGCTCCCGAGAGCTTGGCTTGGGATTTTTCCCAGGCTACGAGCACAGGGAATATCTGGGGTATCCCCTGGGTGTCGATGCTCGGAGGGGGGACGATGTGAAGCCACAAATTGTCACGGGATTTGTGCCGGAAGGGGAAGGAAGAGCCGGGATCCAGCCCCCAGCTGGTGCTGCTGCCAAGTTTCGTTTCTTCTCCGGGCTTTCGATTCCTGGGGGCCTCAAAGGGCAGGATGGGATCCCTCGGGACGGGGATCTAATGAGAGCAGTGGCCCGTGGTGGGGCCCTGCTGCGCCTGGAATTCCAAGGGTTGTAAAGATTTCCAGGAAAACACTTTTGGAGTGGGGCTGGAGGGGGCTTGGAGAGACCTGGGGAAAGGAAGGTGTCCCTGGTGTCCCTAAATGGGATTTAAGGAATGGGTTGGCATGGGAGGGGTTGAAATCTCATCTCATTCCCATGGGCAGCGACACCTTCCACCATCCCAGGTGGCTCCAAACCCTGTCCAACCTGGCCTTGGACACTTCCAGGAATGGGGCAGCCACAGCAAATCTGGGAATTCCATTCCAGAACCTTCCCACCCTCAGAGGAAGGAATTTTCTTCCAATCTCCCACTGATCCCTGCAGTTTAAAAGTCACTTTTTGGCAGAGGAATGAGCACGGAGAGGGAACATTCCCGGTGTGGGACCCTTCAGCTCCATCACATCCCAAAAACCAGAGAAGCAGGGACCATGGGATGAAGGATGGATGTCACCCCCTCCAAGCCCGGATCCGATTCCTGGAGTTCCAGGTACTTCCCTGGCTCCTGGCAGGAGATGGACGAAGCTCATCCCAAAGGGATCCTCCACCCCCACCCCTCATCCCAGAATTCCCGTCCTTTCCCATCCCTGGAGAGCCACGGTGTTACCTGGTGGTGGCTCCGGCAGTGCCACCTCCGGAGCGGTGGCATCGGGAAACCGCCTGTCCCCGCGCTCAGGGACGTCCCTTTATCAGCCGGGGGAGGAGGAGGAGGAGGGTGAGGAGCCCCAAACCGCAGCACTTCCCTCTTCGATGTCCCTGACCTGATTGTGGGAAGTGACAGCAGCAGCTTTTCCCTAATTCTGGGTTTTTGGGGCCAGGGTGGGTTTGGAACGCTCCAAGGTCTCCAGGTTTAGGGTCCTGCTGGTGGGGCTGGGGCAGGGTTGTGTTTGTTCCCTGTGGGAAGGGTTTGGGATTTGTGCTGATAATTCGGGAATGTTTTTGTTGTGTCTTGGATGGAATTGAGGGTGGCCCTGCCCTCACCCTGCTCGGGGAGTGTTGGAATTTCACTGGGAATTGGGGGAACACGGCCAGGAAAACTGATCCCAACCCACCCCTGGGATATCCTGGATCGTGTGGCTTGTGGATAAACTGGGAATGAAGGAAAGGGGAATGTTGGGAGTGATGGTGTTTGTCCTCCCACATCACCAAGATGGATCCTGGTTGTCCTGGGAATGCTGAATGCTGTGAGGGCTGGAGCACCTCAGCTCTGGGAGAGCTGGGAATGTTCCCCTGGAGAAGGGAGAAATGCAGGGAATGCTGAGAGTCCCTGCAGGGGCTCCAGGAGAGCTGGAGAGGGACTGGGGCCAAGGGCTGCAGGGCCAGGAGCCAGGGAATGGCTTCCAGTGGGAAAGGGGAGATTGGGCTGGGATCTTGGCAAGGAATTCCTGCCTGGGCTGCAATTCCCACATTTGCTGGGGCTTCCCCTGGATCCCTGGCAGTGCCCAAGGCCAGGCTGGATCCACCTGGGATGGTGGGAGCTGTACCCAAAGGCAGGAGAGGGCTCTGCCAGAGGAAATTCCCAAAGGAATCCTCAGGATCCTGATCCGACCTCTGCCACCCGGAGCGAAGACACCCGGTGTGGTGGCACTGGTGGCACTGGTGGCACTGGTGGCACTGGGTGAGGCTGGCCCGTGGTGACCACTCGGGGTCAGTGCCCGACCTCGTGGCCCAGCAGCGTGGGAAAGTGCCCTGCAGCACCTCGGGCCCTTCCCGGTGGCTCCGGCGCCGTGCCAGGCAGGATGCTGAGTCAGCAGGGAGATGCCCACAGCCCCCGGTGCCCCCCCGGCCGTGCCACCGGCTGGGAAATGGTCCCAGATCCCACTGGGAGGTTACTGGTGTGGGGCTGGGCCAGTCCTGGGGGGCTCTTGGATCTGGGAGCTGTTCCAGACCTGTGGGTTATTGGATTTGGGAGCTGTTCCAGACCTGTGGGTTATTGGATATGGGAGCTGTTCCAGACCTGTGGGTTATTGGATTCGGGAGCTGTTCCAGACCTGTGGGTTATTGGATTCGGGAGCTGTTCCAGACCTGTGGGTTATTGGATCTGGGAGCTGTTCCAGACCTGTGGGTTATTGGATTCGGGAGCTGTTCCAGACCTGTGGGTTATTGGATTTGGGAGCTGTTTCAGACCTGGTGGACTCATGGATTTGGGAGCTGTGCCAGTCCCAGTGGGCTTTTGGAATCGGGATCTGTGCCAGGCCTGATGGGATCTCGTGGTGGGGGTTGTGCCAATCCTGATGGGATCCTGGAACCGGGAGCTCTGCCAGTCTTGGTAGGTTGTTGGTGTGGGAACTGTGCCAGGCCTGGTGGATTCCCGGATCTGGGAGCTGTGCCAGGCCTGGTGGATTCCTGGATTTGGGAGCTGTGCCAGGCCTGGTGGGATCTGGGAATTTGGAGTTGTGCCAGGCTTGGTGGGCTCTTGGATTTGGGACTTTTGCCAGTCCTGGTGGGATCTTGGATTTGTGAGCTGTGCCAGGCCTGGTAACTTTTGGAACTGGGAGCTGTGCCAGTCCTAGTGGGATCATGAAATGAGAGCTGTGCCACAGCTGAGCCTGTGGGTTCTTTGGTTTGAGGGCAGTTCCAGTCCTGGTGGGGTCTTGGAATTAGGATCTATGCCAGGCCTGGTGGGATCTTGGTGTGGGAGCTGTGCCAGGCCTGGGTGGGTTCCGGGAGCTGTGCCAGTCCCAGTGGACTCTTGGAAATGGGACTTGTGCCAATCCTGGTGTGGTGCCAGACCAGGTGGGCTTTTGGACTGGGAGCTGTGCCAATCCTGGTGAAATCCTGGATTTGGTAGCTGCCAGTCCCAGTGAGATCCTGGATCTGGGAGCTGTTCCAGTCCTGGTGGGCTCCTGGATTTGGGAGCTGTGCCAATCCCAGTGGGTTCCTGGATTTGGGAGCTGTGCCAGTCCCGGTGGGTTCCTGGATTTGGGAGCTGTGCCTGTCCCGGTGGTCTCCTGGATTTGGGAGCTGTGCCAGTCCTGGTAAGATCCGGGATTTGGGAGCTGTGCCAGTTCTGGTAAGATCCTGGATTTGGGAGCTGTGCCAGTCCCGGTGGGCTCTCAGAACTGGGATCTGTGCCAGCCCTGTGCCAGAAGCACCGTGCACTGTCCTGGCACCAGGAGAGCTCTGTGTGATCCATGCCAGGGCCGTGCCCATCCGGAGCAGCCGCCCAGCCCTGGCCAGGAAAGGCTGGGGCAGCCTGACCCAGCTTCAGCCTCTCTCTGCCCCCGCTTCCGGAGCCTCCGCTTCCTTTCTGCTTCCCCCGAGCAGCGCCGTGCCCGCGGTGCCCTGGCTGTTGCCCTCCCTCCAGCCCTGGCTGTTGCCAGCTCTGGATGGGACCCCTGGATCCACCAGGATTCTCCTGGCATTCCCGTGGTGGGCAGCAGTGGGATCCAGAAGGATCCAGAAGGGATCCAGATCCATCCCTGTCCCTTTCCTTGGACACCTGCACCCTTTTCCAGGACATCCAGGGTTGCCAGCTCACATTGTCCCAGCTCCACAGAAACTTGGGAGCTGCTGGAGCCCTCCGGCCCCAGGCTGTGCACGGCCCTGTCCTGTTCCTCTTTCCAGGTCCAGGGTGGGACCAGCTGGAAAAGGGAACCATCCCAGGAAGCTGAAATGAATGGAAAATCAGGGAAAGGGTGCAAAGGGATGGAAAACCCTGGGGGTGTCTCCTGGGAAGGGAGGGAGGGGTGGCTGTGCCTGGGGATTGGCTTCCTCCTGGGAATGGGAACCTTCCTGGGGATCCAGGATCCTCCTGGGAATGGGAACCTTCCTGGGGATCCAGGATCCTCCTGGGAAATGGGAACCTTCCTGGGATCCAGGATCCTTCTGGGAATGGGAACCTTCCTGGGATCCAGGATCCTTCTGGGAATGGGAACCTTCCTGGGATCCAGGATCCTGCTGGGAATGGGAACCTTCCTGGAACTGAGCATCCTCCGGGGGGCCAGCATTATCCTGGGGACCAGGATCCTGCTGGGAAATGGAACATTCTGGGGGATCCAGGATCCTCCTGGGAAATGGAACCTTCTGGGGGAACCAGAATCCGTCTGGGAAATGGAACCTTCCAGGGGACCGGGATCCTTCTGGGAATGAGAACCTTCCAGAGCATCCAGGATCCTCCTGGGAAATGGAACATTCCGGGGGATCCAGGATCCTTCTGGGAATGGGAACCTTCCTGAGAACCAGGATTCTGCTGGGAAATGGAACCTTCCATGGGATCCGGGATCCTGCTGGGAAATGGAACCTTCCATGGGATCCGGGATCCTTCTGGGAAAGAGAACCTTCCAGGGGACCAGGATCCTGCTGGGAATGAACATCCTCCTGAGACCACCATCCTCCTGGGACCCGCATTTTCCTGGGACCAGCACCTTCCCGGGACAAAGCCCTTCCCTTGGGGTCCCGTGGGGTCCCAGCTCTCATTCCCGGGGCGGGCGGAGCGGGAGGCGGCTCATTCCATGCCCAGGAGGAATGTGGGATGGGCGGCGCGCCGGAGAGATAACCGGGAATTCGGCTGTGGGAGAGGAAAACAGTGATGGGAAGAGTGGGAATAAATCACTCGTCCTGTGGCGGGCTGTGCCAGGGACACCAAATCCAGGGCAAAACTCCACATTCCCTGGGAAACCTTTCCATTTCCATTTCCCATCATGGAGCGGCGGCCGCGGAAGGAGCGGGAGGAAGAGGAGGCAGCGCTGCGGGATGGGGCCGATTCCCCTCCAGCCCCTCCCGCATTCCTCCCTTCCCTTTCCTGGCGTGAAAAGTTGAAGGAAAAGGACAAATCAAATAAATCTGGGCTCGGCGTCACCGCGGTGACACCCGCCTGGCACCTGAGTCAACACAGACTGCTTTTCTTCGGCTGGGGGGACTGGGAAGCGCTCTGGGGCTTCCAAACCGAGGGAAAAACTCGGGAATTCCGGCTGCTGGGATGCTCCGGGAGCAGCGGGACATCCTCGAGGTCCCCCTCCATTGGCGCTTCTCAACCCCGGACAGATGTTGGGGATCCCCGAACATCTGGATTCCCTCCGGCTGGAATCCGCCGGGCTTCCAAAGGGGGAGTGGCAGGTGTGGAATTCTGCCCTTCTCCCCACCCCTCCCGGTCCCCACGGCCAAGGGTCACCCCGGCCTGGGAACGCGGCTCCAGGCAGCGCCAGGGAAATGTTTGCTTTGGCACAGGGGTGGGAACGAGGCCCCCGGTGAGGCTGGGCGGCTCCCGGCTCCCCTCGGCTCCTCCCGGATCCCGCTGGGCTCCTGCAGCTCGTCCCGGTTCCTCTGGCTGCCCCAAATCCCCTCCTTCCCAGGCTTCCCAATTACACCCTGGATCTCCCAGCTCCGCCCAGTTCCACACTCCAGTATTCCCAGTTCGCCCCGGTCTTCCTGGTTTCTGCTCTCCCCGGTTCTCCTCCAGCTCCCCCTGGCCCAAATCCCTCCCAGTTCCCCCAGTTCCCCTGTTTCCCCAGTTCCCCTAGTTCCCACA